GTGGTTTGTGAGGATGAGAATATTTTTTCAGATGAACTACCAAGATTACCTCCACATCGGGATGTAAACTTCACCATTGAGTTGCACCTCGGTATATCCCATTTTTCTATGATTTTGAATAGAATGACACCTACAAAGTTACAAGAACTCAAGGTCCAGTTGCAAGAATTGTTAGACAAGGGTTTCATTAAACTAAATACCTCATCTTGGGGTACTCCGGTGTTATTTTCCAAGAAGAAGGATAAGTCCCTTCGGCTATGTATAGATTACCGATAGTTGAATTGGGTTACTATCAAAAATAGGTACCTTTTGTCACAAATTGATGACTTGTTTGATCAATTGAGAGGGCCATGTGTCTAATTCAAGATAGATCTGTGCACGGGTTACCATCAGTTGAGGATTATGGAGGCAGATATCCCTTAAACAGTATTTAAGACGTGATATAGGCATTTCGAGTTCACTGTGATGCCTTTTGGATTGACAAATGCCATGATGGCATTCATGAATCTTATGCATAGGGTGTTCCAACCCTATCTAGACCAGTTTGTCATGGTCTTTGTTGATGACATCATGATCTAATCCAAGTCTAAGGAGAAGCATGAGAGTCACTTGCGGGTTGTTCTCCAAACCTTGAGAGACCATCAGTTGTACGCCAAGTTTAGTAAGTGTGAATTTTAGCTTACAGAAGTGAAATTTTTGGGACATGTGGTGTCGGCTTCGGGTGTATCCATAGACCCAGAGAAAGTTGAGGCAATCATGAGTTGAGAAAGATCGAAATCAATCTTTGAGATACAAAGTTTCTTGGGATTGGTAAGGTATTATAGGAGGTTCATTGAGGACTTCTCCCGACTAGCTGCACCTGTGACTAGATTGACCAGGAAGGAGGTCAAGTTTCAGTGGGATGACTCATGTGAGAAGGCATTCCAAGAGTTGAAAAGGAGACTTACTTCAGCTCCTATTCTAATAGTTCTGGAGAGGGGATAAATGTACATAGTTTATTATGATGCCTTTAAGGATGGACTCGGGTGTGTTTTGATACAGTTCAGGAGGGTGGTAGCTTATGGTTCTCGACAATTAAAGAGTCAAGAGCAAAACTACCACACTCACGACATGGAGTGGGCGATCATCGTCTTTGCCTTGAAGGCATGGCATCACTATTTGTACGGTGAACAATTTGAGGTATTTTCAGACGATAAAAGTTTGAAGTACATTTTCACGCAGCAGGACCTCAATATGAGGCAGCGCAGGTGGATGGAGTACTTGGAGGATTATGGTTTCACTTTACATTACCATCCCGGTAAGGCAAACGTGGTGACTGGTGCATTCAGCTGAAAGTCACGGGGAGTCATGGCTAGTGTGGCTTTCCGGGAGTGACAAATGCTCGAGACCATGGGACAGGTTGGGATTTACTATAGGGGTTAGGCCCAAGGCACTTTGGGGAGTTTGGTGGCTACGCCTTCCCTACTGAGCAAAGTGATCAAGTCTCAAGGGCAGGACACAGAGATATTGTCCATTAAGGACTGGGTACAGTTAGGTACAAGTGACAAGGGCTGGGCCATTCACGCAGATGATAGAGGAGATCCTTAGGGAGTTTCATTATCCTCATTTTTTTGTGCATCCAAGTGGCACAAAGATGTACCATAATCTTCATCACTAGTACTATTGCAGTAGGATGAAGAGGTATGTTGGGAATTTTTTTAGTCGCTACCTCACATGTCAGCAGATCAAGGATGAGCACCAGAGACCAACAGGGTTGTTCTAGTGTTTGGAGGTGGCTGAGTGAAAGTGGGAGCACGTCACTATAAATTTTCTAACCCACTTTCCATGGACATTGCAGGGGCATGAAGCAGTGTGGATGATAATAGACTGCCTTCTTGGCAGTGTGAATGACCTTCACATTTGAGGAATTCTGTAAGCAGTATATATGGAAAATAGTCAGGTTACATGGGGTGCCCGTTTCTATAGTATCAAATCGGATTCCCAAGTTCACAGCCATTTTTTGGGAGAGTTTCCAGTGGGCCATGGGGACACAGTTGATGATAAGCACAACTTTTCATCCCCAGATGGATGGTAAGTCAGAGAGGACCATCTAGACTTTAGAGGACATGCTACAAGCATGTGTCTTTGATCACAAGGGTAGCTAGGAAGAGCACTAACCCTCAGTGGAGTTTGCCTACAACAATAGTTATCAGACGAGCATACAGATGGCACCCTATGAGGCACTTTATGGGAGGCCATGTCGTTCTCCATTTTGTTGAATGGAGGTTGGAGAAAACGACCCTCTACGGGTCCAAATTTAATTAGAGACACCTCGGAGAAGGTAGATTTTATACAAAAGCTTCTTCTTATGGCATAGAGCCGACAAAAGAGCTAAGCCGACAGACAACAACAACCTCTTCAATTTGAGGTTGGAGATCACATCTTCTTGAAGGTGATGCCTAAGAAGGGAGTGGTCAGGTTCAGAAGCAGGGAAAGCTGTTGTTGAGGTATATCAAGCCCTTCGAGGAGCTCGAGAGGGTTGGTACAGTTGTTTATCGGTTGGCATTACCGCCAAATTTATTAGTTATTCACACAGTGTTTCATGTCTCCATACTCTGGAAGTACACTCTCGATCCTACGCATGTGGTGGATTGGGGTGAGCTGGTTGTTGATTCAGATGGGACCTTCGAGGAGGGACCGATGCGTATCATGGATAACCGAAAGCAGGCTATGCAAGGCAAGACCGTGAGGATGGTGAAGGTGATGTGGTAGCACCGCACCGCGGAGGAGTCGACATGGAATCGTGATGACACTATACGTACTAGTTATCTGTTCTTGTTTGAGGATAGAGGTACATTCTTGTGGTCATAGGTGTTATATGACTTATTGCATATGCATGTGGTTCTGTGTGCATGTATGTGTAAATTTCGAGATGAAATTTCTTTTAAGGAGGGACGATTGTAAAACCCAAAAAAAATTTGAATTTTTATGAAAAATGGTAAAACGGTAATTAACCACTATGATACAGGTTGAAAATCTAAATTTTCTAGAACTCATATGACAAACGTACCTCACCGTTGTATTTGTCTAGTAAAATCTAGTTATCTAGTCAATTTTTGTTGAATTTCGAGACAGTCGAATTTTTACATTTTACAAGGCAATTGAGTGTCACATGACCAAAATAAACGTGATTGAGAATAAATTGTGAAAAGTGGAAAATAATTTAAAACAAGTTCAAATAAAAATATATTTAACTTGAAATGGGAAATATGTTCATGTACTCTTTGATATGAACAATGCTTATGACAGAAAATATGAATGCAATGACTCTTTAATGATAGAATGTTGAAGTTTTAAATGTTAATGATGTTCGTGCAAATTTAAAGACAGCTTAGTGACTGATCAAAACAATCACCATGCAACCAGAAGACACCTTAAATGTCTGCTCATTCATGAACAAACACAAAATCACCTATGTTGGAAAGCATACGCATTCGGACGAAGTAATCTTACTACCAAATTTGCAACATGCTCGTTCGGATGCTCGACATACGTTGGGATGAAAATTTTCTTCTCTCTGGTGCGAATTTTAAATTCTAAAGGTCAGAAATTCAAAATTGAATAAGAAAACAAACAGATTTTACCCAAAAATGTCTCACACCCACATTTGAACCCAAGACAAGGCCCATCTTGGTCGGCTCATGCACATGTGTGGTAGAACTCAAGCTAATTTAGGTCTTTTTCATCGTCATTAGTCCACAAAAGTGGGGTGCCCCTTGGGTTCAACCCTTAGAGCAAACTTCAAGTATATATACTCACTTAGGATTTTTTACCCAACCAATGTGAGATTGATGTTAAATCTCACATGTTCTAACCTCAATTTTCACATTCCAAGTGGATGACTTTGAAATCTTATTTTTTTTCATCTTTCACTTGAGTTGAACAACTAAATATACTATTTTATTCTCCTCACAGTGTAGAACACGAACCCTGGAAAATTAACTCAAAATAATGAGTGAGTCCCACTTTATTTAAACTCAAAGTTGACAAAAAAAAACCCGTGTTTATATCCAATAAGTTGTTTGTCTAACAAAAAGGTCTCATCTAGCCCCACTTCAGTCAAGTCACCCTTAGGTGCGCGAATGCTTGAACTGCAAATGTGTGAATGTATGCAACGTATATTGTGGAAGTGTGTGTTGTTGTGAAGGCGTTTATGTGTCTGTGTGATCTATGCGAGTGTGTGGAAAAAAGAAATTACAAAAAATGAGAAAAGTTAAGTGGATTATTACTATTTTGCAACAAAATCCTTGGATGAGATCAACACGACTGAGGTACCATCTCGAATACGCATTCAAGAATAAATTTTGTTTTTCCCGTTTCCTTATTTTTCTGGGTTTTATGGAAACCAAATGGAATAATATATCAAAACATTCATATTTTCTAGTGTTTCGAGATATTCTTGTATATTTAATCCAATGTTTTAAAACTAAATTTTTAATTTTTTTTCTCCTTTCATTCTATTTCTCAAACATTTCTGAATTAAATTTTTGTTTATTCTAATCTAACCAAAACTATGCACCTAAATAACATTTTGATCCTTAAATTCATAGAAACTCAAAAAGGATGCAACGATGTCCACCTAGGAAAGTCCTAAAGATATGACAATTTCTAGACAGTTTTTCAAGAGAAAATCAAATTAAATAGGTAACAACGACCCAATTGTGACATCCTTCAATATCATGACAAACAAGAAACTCTATTTCCACTTGAATAATTTCCTCACTTCAAATACAAATACTACATGATAATTGCTGATGGACACAATATACCACTGACACTCACATGTAATTACAAAATGTTAAGCAGAAACTCAAAAATTTTCCTCTGGCTAATAGAACTCAACATCTTATTTCCTCCAACTCTGAAAAGAACTGAATTTAGAACAAAAAAATAATTTTAAGGAAAAATGGGCTAATGAAACCCAAATCTGGCAATCACTGTGTATCTAGGTTGTGAATTTTTCAGGCATCATCGGATTTTTGACTAGGAGGAGTTCCAGCAAGCCAACCCCACACACCACCCGAGCTCTGCCTCTGTTTTGCGTCTAAGGCAGCCTGTTCAGAAGCAGCTTTTTGTCGCTGGAGGAGTTCAAGTTCTTTTTGTAAAGTCTCCATCATTTGTAGCTTCTGTCGCAACTCTGCAACATCAACCTGCCAGTTCAAACAATAGTTAGCAAACACTCTTCCTCTCCAATTAAGTAGGATATGAGCAGGCATAGTCCTCGCCTTAGAGATCTAGAACTTCGACACAGACTAAACCACAAACCATTATTTACATCTCCATACCCTGTAAATAACAAATGGAGGGCTCTAGGACAAGGTATTGTCGATTTTCTCTGTTTTCTTCCTCCCCTTTTTTGAATGTGTTTGGTCTATTTTTTGAATAACAACCACCGGCACAAGCTTTGCAATGTCGATCACAACACTAGTTAAAACAAATTAGGTCTTTACATGGTCAATCATAACCCTAGTTAAAACAAAATTAGGTCTGATCAATATTTGTATTTGCTCATCAACTACATTGCAAGCATAAAATGTCGATTAAAGTGTTTTATGATGCATTAAATTAACTGTCATTCTATTCTTTATTTGGCCCAAATTCGATTCGGTTTAATCAATTGATATTATTGGACTTTGAGCAGCCAGATTGTCTGTCTCTCCACTACCCCTCTCCCCCTCCCCCCCCTTTTTCTCTTTTCTGGATTAGAATATAAAAAATAAAATGATGCAGCCCATTTTCCACTCTCCTACTTTAGACATTCAAATATTTGGACAACCTGAAAATGATACCATTGTTTACAACCAAAGTTTTACTATACTTGCAGCAATTATATTCATGTGAGTGTAAAGTTAGTCTTCAATGACAAAAAGGGAATGAATTGATCCCTCCTTTCCCCCCAAGCAGGCTTCTGCTTTCAACACACAAATGGAGGGGGTGGGAAAAAAAATATTCTTCATTTAGCAGCAAAATGATGAACATCAAAAACAAATTTGAATCCATTGAATGGAACATACATGCAGATTTTTTGTATATGGATAAGAACTGAGGTATGCAATTGCGTGGCTGGTGTGACTTTGTGGGTACCGCAATTGAGACCCAATATACAACTACTTCCTAAGGCACAGAATTATGGAAAAAATTGCAGGGAAGAGAAACCAAGTGAAATAATATGCCAATAGGCAAGCAAGTAGTGACCTAATCCTAACAGAGGAGACAATTATCATTAATTAAATTGTTGAAACAATCTTTTTTGCCAGCAAAGAATTTAAAAAAAGAACCAAACATCAACAAAAAGAAATTCAATATAACAAGCAGATACCTCAAGTTTGAAACATCTTGACTGCTCAGCAGCAAGTTGACCACGTACAGATTGGAGCTCCTGCAAATTAGTGACAATTTTGAAATAGATCCTCCTTTCATGCAGATTAGAAACTCAAACATTAAAGTAAAAAAAATCAAAAAAAATCTCTCCCAGGAGAAACTTTAGCTTCCCCCCAGAAAGATATGGATGGTTTTCGACCCCATGGCTTTTGCCCCAATTCACCAGGACAAGAAACATGCTCAGAAATAATTCTCATGGGTTAATTCATATCCACTCAAAAAGCAGCAGTTAAAGCATTGTTTTTCTCTTACATTTCAATAAGTAATATTAATTACATCAAGATACAAAGAGGGGGAACTTTCAATAAATCTCCATATTTTTTCGATAAGACATAAAATCTCCATTTTTATAATGGGAAAAAATGGAAATATTTCCATAATGAGGATTATATATTTCATGTCCGAGGTAATTTTCCCCAGAGGTAACATAATACAAATGAAAAGCTTGAACCGGATTTTATAATTTTAAAACAATATTTTAATCAAGATTTATAGACTGAAAGGCATACAATTTCCTAACTCCAATACCAAACAGTACAAGGATTTAAAGGAAATATAACATGGCTACATCAATTAGAAATACAATTGATATTGTGTTAAATCAAACACTGGTTCAGTGGATAAAATTTGACCCTATAACTTTGCTGTTGTGGTTCAAACAAAGGGCAGTCACTTTGTGCAAAATAATGTGAACACTTAGTTCTATACCCAATCTAATCCTCCCTGACCTCGATTAACGGAGACTAAAGCAGGTGTCAATTAGTTGTGTTGATATATAGTAATAAACCAAATTCATTACAAACTTCGTTATGCAAAATTGAATAGTAGTTTTGCTTCAATAATGTCAAAATAAGCCAAAAAATGACAGAAAATTTGTGAATTAAAACTACAAGTGGTTACCTTGCACAGGTCCATATTCTGAGTTTCTGCTTCTCCTAACTCTTGCTTTAGCTGGAGAAACTGCAACTTCTCCTTGCTGAGCGATGATTCTAACTGATCCTTTTCTGCTTTGACGGCTGCTATGAGGCGTTCACTGGTTTCTTCAATTTTGTTTATCTGTAAGATACTTTTTATATAGGTATCAACTTGTTTTGTTTATCTGCAAGATACTTTTAATATAGGTATCAACTTGAAGCTTAAACCACACGTGAAAGAGAGAGAGAGAGAGATGGAAAAATAGTAAGAATATTAAGAGTCTGACATCAACTAGAAATTTTTACAACACTAGTAAATCTAAAAAGGTTAAGAGACGAATTTAAAAATGTGAAAACAAAGAAACAACTGACATGCCAATTTGTACAAGGATTCAACATTCTAGAACTGTTTAAAACACTAAAATTTCAACATATGTGGCATATTTATTGTATTTACTCTCAGTGAAAATCTAAGTATGATTCAAAGTATAATATAAATTTTTTATGATTCAATGCGCTTTCATTTGGTCAGAACTCTACAAACTATGTATAACACTGTAGTTTTTTGAATTTTGAATGTTTATAGAAACAGCGTATATCTGAGACTGCCCATCGGTATCATAAAGCAAGACTAAAACTATGAAATCCAACACTACAAACAATTTTCGCCCACAAAGATAATATGTGGAACCCAACATCTGTTTTGGGCATATTAACATGAAAACCATGTGGATTTGAATTCAGAGAAGCAGATCTGAGTGAAAAGTTCTGCAAGATCACAATACCATTGGCTCTGAATCAACATTGTCCATAACAATTTCCCTTATTTTTCCTTCTTGTCCTGCTTCAAACTCAGATTCGACATCTCTTGTGGCAGTTTGTAGCATTGTGTACTGCTGAAACGCTATCGGGCACTGTAGTCTCCATCATTTTTGATTGCAAGGTCGATTTGTGGCTTGGTTTAAGTACATTGACCTAACAACACACAAAAAATTAGAAGAAAGCAGAGAAGCAGCATAAAAAACAGCTGAAGGATGCTCTAACCTCATTGTTGTACCGCCCATTGTATCCTCCAAAAGAAACCAGAATATCTTCCCCATTGTAGGAACTCAGGACCATACTCAATCCCTGTCATTGGAAGAAGTTTTTAGTCAGAGTGAGACTGATATTATGTGGAAAAGTGTTAAATCCTT